GTCTGATTTCCCTTCCTTCCTTTAAAGTCTAAGGGAAGCCTAGAGATAACAGAGAGTCAGTCTGCTGATGCGGAGCCTCCACCTCCTCCTAAGCCGGACCTGAGCCGATACACCGGGCTGCGAACGCACCTTGGCCTGGCTACTAATGAGGGTAAGGGCTGCTTTGGTGTGTGAGACAGACAAGGTACCACGTAAGCTGTAGAAAAGATGAGCAAGGGCTGGAGAGATGGCTCAGTGGTTAAGAGCATTGCCTGCTCTTCCAAAAATTGTGGTTCAATTCCCAGCAACCACATGGTGGCTCACAACCATCTGTAATAAGGTCTGGTGCCCTCTTCTGGCTTGCAGACATACACACAGAATATTGTATACATAATAAATAAATAAATATTTAAAAAAAAAAAAGATGAGCAAGGGCGGGGAGGTAATGCTTAAATTAGGGCTTACAGCACCCAGCAAATGGAGCTTTCTTTAAGTAGCTAAAAGGAGTGCTGCCAATTAGTAATAGACAGTGATTTGAACGGACTTTCCAGAGAATTACTTTTTACAATTTTATATTGTGTATGTGCATGGTGTGTGTGGCGGGAGGGTGTTAGGTAGAACAAAAGATAAGCTCCAGTAGCTGGTTCCTTCCTTCCACTATGAATTCTGGGGATTCACATTCAGGTTATCAGGCTTTTGTAGCAAGTTTTACTTGCTGTGAGTTTGCCTGAATCACAATTTCTTAGTACATTTGGTGCATTTGCTCGCCACAAATTATAAAGATCCTTGGTCTTTAAAAAATATTCTCCCTTCCCCCGGGTGGTGGCGCACGCCTTTAATACCAGCTCTCAGGAGGCAGAAACAGGTGGATCTCTGAGTTTAAGCCCAGCCTGATCTACAGAATGAGTTCCAGGGTAGCCAGGGCTACACTGAGAAACCCTGTCTCCAAAAACAAAACAAACAAACAAACAAAAAAAAAAAAAGAAAAACTAAACAGAAAGAAAGAAAAAGAAGGACTTTGTAGACCAGAATGTTGCTGATCTCACAGAAGTCTGCCTTCCTCTGTCTTCCGAGTGCTGGGATTAAAGATGTGCACTACCACACCTAGCCTTACCATTATTTTTTTATGTGTGTGTGGGTGTTTAGCCTGCATGTGTATGTCTGCTCACCACTTGTAGTCCTATATCCAAAGACCAGGTCCAGCTGAGTCTTGAGACTTAATTTCAGCAGTCTTGTTTCCTAGACTTTGCTTTTATTGGGTATACTTGATTCTGCTGTGCCCTTTTCCTCTACTTTGAGAAACTCCATGACAGTTGTGCTCTGGGTTTCCTGTGTAGATAGCAGTCTCCTGGGCAAGGACAGCCCCCCTACACCTACCATGTACAAGTACCGACCGGGTTACAGCAGCAGCAGCACCTCAGCCGCCATGCCTCACTCCTCCAGCGCCAAGGTACTGACTGTGTACTCTGAGAAGTGGGGCCATAACCTTTCTTGAGGAAAGCGTGGAGGAAATAAAAATCGAGGGCATCTTACTGATTATTGGCATTAATGGAATTGAATTTCCTTGATGTGTTCTTCATCAAAAAAGGAGCAATGACAAATACTAGATAAAAAACACTAATTAGTGGGCACTGGAGAGATGGCCCAGAGGCAAAGGGTACTTACTGGTTGCTCTTCCAGAGGTCCTGAGTTCAATTCCCAGCAACCACATGGTAGCCCACAATCATCAGTAATGAGATCTGGTGCCCTCTTCTGGCCTGCAGACAGAGCACTTGTATTTAAAAAATAAAAAAACAAAAACTCTAGTGTCAAATCTGATTTTAGAAACCAAGTTACTTAGTCTCTATAAGCCTCATTTCCAACATCTTAAAATGAGGCATTTGTTCCCAGCCTTATGACGTCCATGTTTGAAGTGTGCCGCTGGCACGTAATTCTCTTCTTCAGTGTCTCTTTGGGCTCAGGGGGGTGTCAAAAGGAACGCTAAGACTATTTTACTCTTTTTCTACAGTTGAGTCGTGGAGACAGCTTGAAGGAACCAACCTCAATTGCAGATAGTAGCCGCCATCCCAGCTACCGCTCAGAGCCCAGCTTGGAGCCAGAGAGCTTCCGGTCTCCCACTTTTGGAAAAAGCTTTCATTTTGATCCGCTGTCCAGTGGCTCACGATCCTCCAGCCTCAAGTCAGCCCAGGGCACGGGCTTTGAGCTGGGCCAGCTGCAGTCCATTCGTTCAGAGGGTACCACTTCCACCTCCTATAAGAGCCTGGCCAATCAGACACGCAATGGAAGTCTTTCCTATGACAGTCTGCTCACTCCTTCAGACAGCCCTGATTTTGAGTCAGTACAGGCAGGGCCTGAGCCAGACCCACCTTTAGGCTACACCTCTCCCTTCCTGTCAGCCCGGCTGGCCCAGCAGCGGGAAGCCGAGAGGCACCCACGTTTGGTGCCAACCGGCCCACCACACCGAGAGCCCTCGCCAGTCCGATATGACAATCTGTCTCGCCACATCGTGGCCTCCCTCCAGGAACGAGAGAAGCTGCTACGACAGTCACCTCCACTTGCAGGCCGTGAGGAAGAGCCAGGCTTGGGAGACTCAGGCATTCAGTCAACACCAGGCTCAGGCCATGCCCCTCGTACTAGTTCCTCTTCAGATGATTCAAAGAGGTCACCCTTGAGCAAGACTCCACTGGGACGCCCAGCTGTCCCCCGTTTTGGCAAACCAGATGGGCTAAGGGGCCGGGGAGTAGGGTCCCCTGAACCAGGCCCAACTGCCCCCTACCCAGGCCGATCAATGTCTTATAGCAGCCAAAAAGCCCCATCTGGTGTCTCTGAGACAGAGGAAGTGGCATTGCAGCCATTACTGACACCCAAGTAAGTATGTCTTTTCTTCCCTCATGCGATGTCAGTCTGGTTGTACATGATTCTAGTATAGGTGGAGCCTGGGGACCCTGAGAACTCTTTCATAATTTCATAGCCTTATGGACAACTCTTTAGAGACTGAAGGTTGATAATATTCCCTTAATACTATCTTCCTGAGAGTTAATTGCCAGAATAAGTATATGAGAACTGAGGTTAGAAATAAATGGGGAAAAAAGAGAATCCATCTTACTTTAAGCATGTCAATAAAGTCAAAGGACTGGATTGTTTAGGGAAGGAGATACATAGAAAAGATTCCCCCTCCATATTAGACCCTTTTTGTGTATGATTGTATTGTATATGCATTGTGCATCTTTTCCTGACGTCTGTTTCTTCTTTTTTCCCCCAGAGATGAAGTACAGCTCAAGACCACCTACATCAAATCCAATGGGCAGCCCAAGAGTTTAGGCTCAGCTTCCCCTGGCCCAGGCCAGCCAACTCTCAGTAGTCCCACAAGGGGAGGAGTCAAGAAGGTGTCAGGGGTGGGTGGTACCACTTATGAGATTTCTGTGTGAATCTTGGCGCCTTCCCTCCCCCACACCTCTGCACCTACACCAAAGGGCCTCAGGTGGCCACCTTCCTTCCCTCAAGGGGCTCCCCTACTTTGCATGGACATTTTTAAACCACCGATTCCAAGAGGATGAGGCTTGTTTTACAAAATGCCATGGGGTTGAGGAGAGTTGGGGCCCTGAGACAGGGGTGGCACCCCCTCCCCCTTTTGATCTTTTAAGACCTTCCTTCCCTTTGATCCCTGGACCAGACTCAGTGGACATTTGTGCAATTGCTCGCCCTGGAGGGAACCAGATCATTTTTAAACCAGAAATAATTTTTTTTATTGTTGTTACGGATTCTATTTTTTTCCTCTTCTCCGTTACCAGGTGTGTGTGTACATATATATATATTATAAATATCAAAGAAATTATATATCTATCCTGGGATGGGAAAACAAGGGAGGGATATATAGATATATATATATATATAAGGAGGGGGATTTTATTCTTCCCTTTCCTTAGACCAGCAGGAAAAGAGACAGTACAGTCTTTTTTTTCCCCATGGTTCCCTCTCTTTTGTCCCAGTTATCAACTAAGGAAATAGCACCCTCTGCTGGTGCTAAGTGATTGGGAAAGAACCCTCAGTTAAGTCTGGGGTTCTTGGGTCAGAAAAAAGAACTTGCAGAGTTTCCTAGGCTCACTGACATCTAGTTTCCCCAGGAAAGGGGTCACAGTTCCACGACGGTGGTGGGAGATCAGGAAAAGAGCTTGGCCTAGTTTACAAAAACATCAGGCAATCTCCCTCCCCCCCCATTCTTGGGAGACAGGGATTGTGGTTGGCTTAGTGAGCCCATTCAATGCTTCCCTATAACTTAGTTAAAATGATCTTCAAACCCAAGGCCAGAAGAGAAGAATCCAAAAAGCAATATTTTTCATCATATGCCAAAAATGGGATAGAGAGAAGGAGTGGCAGGCCTAGGCCCCTCCGATTGTCCCCTGGGGTTTACTCCTTTGCCCACCTCAATATGGTGCTGGGTAGAGGGGGTAGCTGGGGTCTAACCTTTAACAGGGAAGAGCCCAGCCTCTATACAGAGACCCTATAATTTTTTTATTCTGATTAGCCATTTTAAACCAACAAGGAATAAAATAAATCCTGATCTAACCAGCTCCCCCTGACTTGTGTTTTATCTGGCTAAGGCAAGGTGAATGATCTTGTGGGAAGTCAAAAGAGAAGCCCCATTCTCTGGTCTGCTTTTGTTCTGGCTAACAAATTAACCTAGCTTTTCATAACAAAAACTTCCTCTTTTTTGAAATATTAGAACTCTTGTGTCATTTCTTCATTTACTCTAGAGAGTCAAATGGGTTGGAGAGATGGCTCAGCCATAAAAGCACTGACTCCTCTCTTCCAGAGGACCCAGGTTGGCAGCTCACAATTGTCTGATACTCTCACACAGAGATACATGCACACGAAACACCAATACTCGTAAAAGTAAATAAATTATTATTATTTTTCCTCTCCCGAGACAGGGTTTCTCTGTAGCTTTGGAGCCTGTCCTGGAAGTAGCGCATGTAGACCAGGCTGGCTGGCCTTGAACTCACAGAGATTCACCTGCCTCTCGAGTGCTGGGATTAAAGGCATGTACAACCACTGCCTGGCTAATAAATTATATTTTTTAAGAAAATAAAAAGCTAGACATGACGGTGTATGCCTTTGATCCCAGAACTTGGGAAGTAAAGGCAGGTAGGTCTCCTAAGTTTGAGGTCTTTATAGCCTGCCGGGTTACAAAGCGAGACACTGTCTCAAAAACCACAACCCAAAACTTTGTTTTTCCCAAACAACCAAATCCATTTTTTAAGACTAAAGAATAGAGAGGCATTATACTTCTTGCCAGAGGTTCACCTAGCACACACAAGGCTTGAGCCGGTACCCAGGAAAAAGAGTGGGAGCATAATGAAACAAACACCAGGATTTTTTTCCCTGCTAAAATATACTGGTGATTCTGGGTGTTTCTTTGTAGTTCCCTGTTGTGTATCAGCACAGGCATACGCCTTATTTGGGCCAGCTTTCCTGAAGGGCTGAAAATCAACCAGGCACTTGGTTGGCTCTGAACATTATGGACAAAATACTAGCAATCAGTGTTGCTTTCCAACCATGTTCTCTTTTCTCATCTTGATTTCCCAGCCTAAGGAAATAATGTGATGGCAAGATTTCTATCTTAGCAGTGCCTTTTCTTAAACTCTGACTCATACAAAATGGCACTTGCCTCTTAAAAGGTAGCCATACTAGCTAGTCTGGTAAACACGCCGTTTTTAAAAAAGAAAAAAAACCAAAAAACCCTAGCAGATGAAGTCCTAAAACTAAATTGCACAAAAGAAGGGGAGGAGAAAAAAAAAGCGCTTCTTGTGAGAAGGATGTCCATGAAAAAAGCCAACTGGACTGAGCCTTAAAAAAGCACAGCCCTTTTAAAAAGTGTATTCGTCATAAGCGCAGCAGGAGCTGGCTTCTGTCTAGCTGTTGATACCCCAAGGCAGTGCCCAAGCGCCTGGAAGACAGTTTTTGTCAGCAGATTCAATATAACATGAAAGCCATCCTTGGCAGAGTTCAGTGGTCCTGTTAGCGGAGGCTGCTGCTGCTGCTGGCCTGGGAGCTGCCCATACCGGGGTGATCTGGACTATGTCGGTTCTGGAGGAGACAGGAAAGGGGGAAGAACATTTAGAAATGCAAAGACAGACCTGGCTGGACATACTGCATGCCTTTAATCCCAGGGCTTTGGAGAGAGCCAGAGGCAAGCATATCTCTCTGAGAAGCCAGACTGCTCTATATAATGAGTTCCAGGCCAGCTAACCAAGCCTATATCTCAAGGCTGTCTTAAAACAACAAAAAAAACCTTAAAGATTAAAGGTGTGGACGCAGAGGCAGGCGGATCTCTGTGAGTTCAAGGCCAGCCTGGTCTACAAGAGCTAGTTCCAGGACAGGTTCCAAAACTACAGAGAAACCCTGTCTTGAAAAAACAAAAACCAAAAACAACAAAAAAACCTTAATACAAGATAAGCCTGCTTAGCATAGACTTGTAACCTCTTGCAACTGCTTAGGAGACAGGTAGGAGGATTGCAATAATTTTAAAAGACTAGATCTGGCTCAGTGTGTAGGGCACTGCCTCAAAGAGAAAAAGAACAAGAGAACTAGCCTTGGCCAGTACTGGAAAAAACAAATGTTTGCCCTGGGTTTTCAATCTTGGGTCCAGCTTGAGGCAAAGGGTTCAATTTAAGAAGGCTGACAAGGAAGCTGGAGAGATGGCTCCAGTTATGAGCATGTACTGTCTTGTGGAAAACCCAAGTTCAGTTCCCAGCACCCCCACAGGATGATGACTCCAGCTCCAAGGCTGCCCTCTCCTGGTCTCTGTGGGGCACTGTACTTGTGTAAGGAAACACCTGTATATGTAAATTAAACACAAAACAAAAATGGCTACATGGAAAACTCAACAGGCGCTAAGATTAGCCCTCTACCTTCTTCTTCTTCTTTTCTTTCTTTTTCCTTTTCCGTTCAGGATCCTCTTCTTTTTTCTTTTTCTTCTTTTTGTGATCTGAATCAGATGGCGTTTCTGTAGGAGACATTAAGAGCCTGTTGAGCATAAGATCTATTGCTGGGAACTCTTAAGGCTGCAGGAAACCCAGTACCAAGGGGCACAGCTTTTTTTCCTGAGTTCAGAAAGGATATAGAGGTGCTGGTAGAGCAGCTGCTAAGTCACTGCTTGTCCAAGAAATGTCAAGACATGAGCTTCTTGGGGAAATCTGGGCATCCCGAGGAACTAAGTGCTTCTTACCTGGGGGGACAGGATCCTGGGTGCGGCTCTGTTTATGCTTGTGCTTGTTCTTCTTCTTGGGGGGCTGGATGTGCATCAGACGGCACTGCTCTGGCAACTGAGGGGACGAGAGAATCCAGGTGAATAGAGGAAACTGGGCAGAAAACTTCCGCTGTGCCTTTTAGGCCTCCCCAAGAAGGGACTCACCGGGCCAGTATGGAGGCGGAAACCAGACAGCATGGTCCCTGTGATTGGATTAAAGGAGCTACTAAGAATAGGAGGTTTCTCGATGAGGGAGCGGAGGCTGCTGTTGTCATGGGAGCCAGGGAGGTCGATCATCCCTGGCAGGTCAGGCAGGAAGTTACTTAGCTTCTCCTTCACCTTCTTCCCACAGAACTTATTATAGGCCTGTTCCAGGTTGTAGTGTGTGATTAAATTGGTGCTGCCCGTCAGCTCTGTGCTGCCTAGAAAACAGCAATAATGAACTTATATACCAAAAGCAGATGATAGGGTTTGGTTTGTTTGGTTTTTTGTTGCCACTAACTCAGAAGGTATAAAACTTGAAGACAATTCTGAAGCCATTTCTGACAATTCTGAGCCCTCTCAGTCTCAGCAGTAATGCTCCCCCTTCCCCCTGGGAACCAAGGACCTAACAATTGCCCACACATGTACTGAAATTTTGGGAACTTTCCATCATCTCCCTGAGTTCTTGTGAATGTTCTCCAAATAGAACTCAGTTATTGAACAGGGGGCAAGATAACCCTTAGGTGTTGACTCAAGTCACTGATGTTTTGACTCAGTCCCTGGGAAAGGGGCAAAGTGACCCTCAGATGTTCCCTCTTACCTCATCTGATCTGGCAACCACTCTCCAGCCAATTATTGGTAATAGCCCTTTTGAATAAGCCAATCGTAATAGTTAAAGAACAACCCCCCCACACACCCCTTCCTTCTGTGGTTTTTCCCTTTAACAGTAACCTGTACCAGCCATATGGGGTCTTTCTAGCCTCCCAAATGCTGGAAGACCCTGTCATGACAGAATTAATAAAATCCTCATGCTTTTACATCAGCTGTGGTGTGAGAGACGGTCTCTGGGGGGGGGCTCCTCCTCGGTGATTAGACTCTAGGGTCCAACAAAGGAACTGAAGGAAAAAACAGTTTTTAGGTTTACTTTATGTATATGTTTATTTTGCCTATATGTATACATGTGTACCATGTGTGTGTGTGGTGCCTGCAGAGATCAGAAGAGGGGTTAGATCTCCTAGAAGTACAGATGGTTATGAACTGCCCTAGGAACTGAACCTGGGTCTTTTACAAGGGCAACCCATACTCCTAATTGTTGAGCCATCTCTCCAGCCCCATTTAGGACTATATTTTAATACTAATGAGGAATCTATTAAAAAACAAAAACTATTGTCTTAGTCACTGTTGTATTGCTATGAAGAGACATGATCATGGCAACTCTTAAAACTGAGAAAGCACTTAATTGGGGTCTTGCTTACAGTTTCAAGGCTTAATTCATTATCATGGTGGGCAGGACAACGGCAACATAGTGCTGGAGGAGCTGAGAGCTTCCTACTGATGGGCAGGCAGAAAGAGTCTAGACCTGGCATGTCACCCCCAGTGACAGACTTCAACAAGGCCATATCTCCTAACCCTTCTAATCTATTCAAGGAGTTGCACTCCTTGGTGACTAAACATTAAAATATATGAGCCTATGGAGGCTATTATTCAAAACACAATTTTAGAATTTCAACACTTAGAATTTCAGATTTTGGAGCATTCCAGACTTCACATTTCTGGATTTGGGATGTGTAACTAGTAAAATCTATGCAAATATTCTGAAAAACTCGAAACATTTTAGATAATAGACACTAAGGCTATAAAAACTTAATAGTCAGATGCAGTGGCGCACACCCATAAGCCTGGAATGCCAGCACTCAGGAGGCTGAGGCAAGACAGCTCCATTCAAGGCCAGCTTGGGCTGTGTAGTGATCCTGTCTCAAACACCCCCAACTCGGGAACATACAATAAACACAAATATTAAACTGTGGGCTAGAGGAATGGAACAAATGGAGCTAAGTAGGATAGAGATGGAACCCAGCTTTAATAGGAAGACTAGTCACCATAGGAAAACAGATTTTGTGGCTGTGACTATCTTGTGACCAATACATTTATTCTTCATGATACCAAGTATTACTTAGGAAGGGCTACTCAATGAAAATATGAGCAACCAGAATTCTAATACTAGCTGTCCTCTTTGTTGCTCTTTCCTTTTATCTATGTAATGGGATAATAGCTTTGTGTTTCACTGCTTTTTTAAAGATTTATTTATTATGTATACAGTGTTCTGTTTGCATGTATGCTTGCAGGCCAGAAGAGTGAACCAGATCTCATTATAGATGGTTGTAAGCCACCATGTGGTTGCTGGAAATTGCCTCTCACAACTGGCACTGCCTTCTGCTTGCCAGGGTGTCTCCTTTCAGATGAGAAGGAACTTAGTGCTTTTCATAATCTCTAAACAAACTGATCAATGTGGCACACACCAGTAAACCCAGCATCCAGGAAGAGGGGTAGGAAGCTCAGGAGCTGATGCTTATCCTTGGCTACACTAGTTTGAGGCCATCCCGGGTGACACTAGACTGCATCAAAGGGGGAATTAAGGAAGTAAGTATCAGGGGCTGGCTAGCTGGCTCAGCACATGACTCAGATTGCACGCCCCGCACCCACACAGCCGACAGGCATTTGTATGTCATTCCAGTTCCAGGGAATCTGATGCCTTCTCTGACTTCCATGGGTACCAGACCACACATGTCACATACACACATGAAGAAAAACATTCATACATATAAAATAAACTAAAAAAATACATACATGAGTTTAACTTCTATTTAAACTGCTAGTTCTCTGAAAATGACTTATAAACTTCTTTCAGAAGCCATGGCTCCTGAAAACAAATCCTGAAATGTCAATCCTATGCAGATTCATTTTTTTTCTCTCCTTGAAATTCTAAATCCTGCTCACATCACTATGGCCTCTTCCAGTTATTGGACCTAACATTCTGTAATACATTCTGTAAGTGTAGAAAACAATATTTTTTGTTGTTATTTTGAGACAGGGCTTCTCTGTAGCGTTGGAGCTAGTCTTGGAATGTCAAACCAGGTTGGTCTTGAACGCACAGAGCTCCGCCTGCCTCTACCCCCACCCCCTCCTCTCAGTGCTGGGATTAAAGCCTTGCGCGCCACCACTGCCTGATGAAAACAATACTTCTTAGTTAAAACAAAATTTAAAACAGTGGTAGAGTGCTTGTGTAGCAATGTGGAAGGCCTTGGCTGAGTCTCAGTCCTGGGAGCCCGAGAAGGAAACTGCTACTTAAATGCCCATAATACATGGTGGTGCATGCTTTTAATTTTAATTTCAGTACTCGGAGGCATAGGCAGGCGAGTCTGGTTTACAAAACAAGTTCAAGAACAGCCATAGCTACACAGAAAAACCCTACTTTGAAAAACAAACAAACAAATCGTGGTACTTGAGCCTAATACTATTTTTTAATTGATTTTTCTAAAGATTTACTTTATTTCTTATTTTATTTTTTGTTTTTCTGAGACAGGGTTTCTCTGTAGCTTTGGAGCCTGTCCTGGAACTAGCTAGCTCTTGTAGACCAGGCTGGCCCCGCCTCTGCCTCCTGAGTGCTGGGATTAAAGGCATGAGCCACCACTGCCCAATTTAAGATTTACTTTATATTGTATGTATGAGTATTTTCCTGCATGCATGCCTGTTTGCCACATGCATGCTTGATGCCTATGGAAGTGATGAGCCTGTGAGCACATGCAAGAACATGGGCTCCTAACCACTGAGCCAGCTCCAGCTTTTTAAAAATTTATTCATTAATTTTTTTTTTTTTTTTTTGAGACAGAGCCTCTCTTGTTTTGGATGACTTGTAATTCACTATGTAGACCAAGTTGGCCTCAAACTCGGAGAGATCCACCCTGCTTCTGCCTCCCAAGTGCTGGAATTAAAAATATGAACTCAGACTAAAAGATTTATTTTTACCATATCTGTGTGTATATGTGTCTGTGCTGTGTGAATGTATTCCACATACCATTTGAGCACCTGTGGAGGCCCAGCAGAGGGTGCTGGATTCCCAGGAGCAGGAGCAAAGGAGAACTGTGAGGCTCCCCGCGAGGGTTCTGGGAACCTCATAACCTTGGAGCCCTCTCCAACTCCCCTGTAGCTAAGACTGGCCTTGAACTTCTGATGGAGCCAAGGATGCCCTTGGACTCCTGATCTTCCCGCCTACACCTCCCAAAGCGCTGAGATTATAGACTTGTACCACCATGCCTGGTCCCCAGAACTCCTAAGCATAAACTCTACCAGCTGAGGTACATCTCCAGCCTTCCAATTCATAGTTTTATTCCAACTTAGCTTTGGAGCCTCATCAACCACTATTCTTCCATGCAAAATTAATATCTCTCTCTCTCTCCTTCCTTCGTTTTTCCTTTTTAAGGTTTTTTTTTTTTTTATTTTTCGAGACAGGGTTTCTCCGTAGCTTTTGGTTCCTGTCCTGGAACTAGCTCTTGTAGACCAGGCTGGCCGCGAACTCACAGAGATCCGCCTGCCTCTGCCTCCCGAGTGCTGGGATTAAAGGCGTGCGCCACCACCGCCCGGCCTTTAAGGTTTTTTTGAGACAAGGTTTGTCTGTGTTAACAGCCCTGGCTGTCCTGTAACTCTGTAGACCAGACTGGCCTCGAACTTAGAGATCTGTCTACCTCTGCCTCCCGAATGCTGGGATTAGAGGTGTGCACTACCTCTGGCCTGGCTGACATCTTATTCTTGATGTCATTTTGGCTAACAGCACATTTTGAAAACCTAAGATGTGTGAAGCGTAACTACAAAGTAATAAGACTGACACTAACAAGAATACAAGCACAATCCTTAAACCATATATTTTAAATCTCAAAAAAAGAAGCTACCTAAAGACTAAGTTTACCAATCTCCACTTCTCACACTCATCCCTCCCAGCATTTGTCTCTAATGGAAATTCAGTATTTGTCAACTGATTTACAGAAACAGGTACAATCAGAACAGATAATGCAAAAGATAAACTACTGGAGGAAGGTGGGCCTGGTGGTACAGAGTGAGGTGGATCTCATTGAGTTCAAGACCGACCAGTCAGGACTACAGTGAATTCCAGGCAAGCCTGAGCCACACAGTGAGACTCTGTCTCAACAAAACAAAACGAAACAAAACAGTCACAACTAAAATAAAACTTCTGCAAGACACCTGTCACTAAAGCACAGTCAATTGCAGTTTGTCAATTACAAAATACAATACAAATAAGAATACAGACGATACCTATCTAAAAGGGCTACAATAAATACTACACATTGCTACACACGTCTCCCGAGTTCCAAACAACGGCTCAGGCTGTGACCGAGTCACGGACGGCGGACAGCGCCCAAACCCACCCCACGAAGGCGAGCCCCTCACCCGGCAACTCCCGCATCAGGTAGAAGGGGCCGCTCCCAGCAGCCGACTTGTCTGCGCCCGCGGGGGCCGAGCTCGCGGGCGGCGGCGGGGCCGCGCCTGGACCCCCTCCCGGAGGAGGCGGAGGCGGCGGGGGCGGCTTCCCGGGCCCGAAGCCCAGGGCGCTCGGGGGCGGTGGGGGGTCGGCTTGAGCTCCGAACAGTGCCGTGAAGTTCTCCATGGCACCCTCGGCTCCCGGATTACCCGGGATCCGGCATCAGCGACGTTTATTGGACAGCGCTCTCGCAGGGTCCCATCCTCGTCCTCTAAGGGCTTCCCGTCATTGGATACAATAGGCCACGCCTACCGACTTCCGGCTACCACTTCCGTCGCTTTAAGAGACGGTTCGGGAGGTGGGTCTCAGTCTTATAGCCAATAAAATGACTCAGGTGGAAAAGCGACAACCCTACGGACCAATAGACTACCCAACTCACTTTCTGGTTAATCGCAGCGCCCAATAAGACATCTACATCCGGGTCCGGAGGCGTTGCCTCTGCTCTCCCGCCCAATAGAAGCCTCGCTGTCGAGGGGCGGCGGAGGGACGAGCCGGGGGCGGGACGGAGCCGGCGAGGGACCCGGCTGGGAAGATGGCTGTCCTCGCGCCTCTGATCGCCCTGGTGTACTCGGTGCCGCGGCTTTCTCGATGGCTGGCTCGGCCCTATTGCCTGCTGTCCGCGCTGCTGTCCGCCGCGTTCCTCCTCGTGAGGAAACTGCCGCCGATCTGCAGCGGTCTCCCCACGCAGCGCGAGGATGGCAACCCGTGTGACTTTGACTGGGTGAGCGCCCCCTGCCTCGGTAGCTCCCGACCTTGACCATCCCCGCGCCGGCGGGTGCACGGGAAAGTGTGGGAGGACATTTCGGGAACCTCCTGGCTTAAGATGGAGAAACAGAATCCAGGGTTTCCTCCACACAGGAACGGTGTTCTACAGGGTTGCCAGGCTTCCCGGGGCGCCGGCGAGGAAGACAGACCAGTAGTAGAAATACCGTTTTTCTATCTTTCTGTCTATCATCTATCTATCTGTCTGTCTGTCTGTCTATCTATCCATCTATCTATCCATCCATCTACCTATATCTATCATGTATCTATCATGTGTCTGTCATCTATCCATCCATCTATCTGTCTATATCTATCCATCTATCTATTTATCTATCTATCTGTCATCTGTCTGTCTGTTTGGCAAATTGATCTCAGTGTAGTTAGACAACTTTCCCAAGGTCACACAGTGCTCAGAAAGTGCTGCCTTACCCCGTTCAATTCTTATAGGCCGGCCCACTTAGGTCGCTAACTCAAAATGACTCAGGTGGAAAAGCAACCGCAGGACTGCCCAGACACTGTAACTGCACACCCTATCATCTTCAGGGGGGTGGAGAAACAGGGAAGGCTACAAAAACACGAGGCAGGGAGGGGGGCAATAATTTCAGAACAATTAACATTGCTGTGAAGGTAGTGGACATAGAGCTAATATTCCTTTCCTGTACAAATATTTATGTTACAATGGCAGTGACCCAGACTCAAGGCCGGAAGGTTTTACTATAACCTTGGGTAAGCCACGTTTCTTTCTTCAGACACTTCTGGGACTCTCAAACAAGATTATTAACTTTGTTTACATTAAAGATACCATACTTTTGCCAGGATTTGTGTTGTACCCCGTTGGTCCTAGCACTCTGGAGACAGAGGCAGGTGGATCTCTGTGAAATTGATGTAGGCTCTTCTGGTCTGTATCACACATTCCAGGTCAGACTACATGGTGAGACCTTGTCTCAAAATGACACCACACCAAAACCCTACTTTCCTTTGTACCTTATAAGTTGTAACACTGCCAGGTGCCTCTTAAGAATCGCCTTATGAAACTGGGTGGTGGTGGCGCAAGTCTTTAATGCCAGCACTTGGGAGGCAGAAACAGGTGGATCTCTGTGAATTTGAGGCCAGCCTGGTCTACGGAGTGAGTTCCAGGACAGCCAGGGCTACTCAGTGAAACTTTGTCTCAAAAAACCAAAAACAAACTGTAGCACAATTAATAAAAACCCAGAGACAGAAGCTGGAGTTCAACCTGAAGGTCAGAAAAGCAAAACAGCCAGCCACTCTTAGCTCTACCTCAGTCGGAAATGGCGATCCTGCCTCCAGGGAATCTAGAAGGAGACCGCATCTGAGAGCTGTCTTATATCCCTCTCTCAGGCTAAAATTAAAGGTGTGTGTCACCACTGCCTGGTCTGTAAGGCTGATCAATGCCGCTGTTTTACTTTCTGATCTTTAGGCAAGCTTTCTTTATCACAATACAAATGAAATATCACTACAACAAACGTCACTACAACAAACCTCACATACACTTCTGATAATCCAAATTGGGTTCCCAGTGCCCACATCAGGAGTCTCATGGCTGCCTGTAACTCCAGGTTTAGAAGTCTTTTTCAGGCACCTACATTCATTTGCACATACCCGAACATACCACCCTGCTTTTGAAATAGTTTTAAGAAGACCTCAACTTGGCTGGGTGCTGGTGGCACATGCCTTTAATCCTGGCACTCAGGGAGCAGAGACAGGTGGACCTCTATAAGTTCAAGGACAATCTGGTTTACAGAGCTCCAGGACAGACTCTAAAGCTACAGCGAAATCCTGTCTGGAAAACAAAACACAAGAAGACCTTAACTCTTGGGGCTTGATAGATGGCTGAGTGATTTAGAGCACTGGCTACTCTTCTAGAGGTTCCTCACACCGACTTGTCAGGTCGCAGCTCTCTGTAATCCAGTTCTAGCACTCACCTCTGGTCTGTGAGCACTAGACACGCAGTGCACTTAGATACATTCAAGTAAACCACTAATTCACGTAAAATGAAGATAATTCTTTAAAAACAAACACACATCAAACTCTCGATACTGGCCAGCTGTGAAACTTTCTTAATGAACTATGAGTCCCAGTTTGGCGTGAGTAGACTCCTGAAAGATTAAAGGAGCCAGGCTATGCCCGCAAAAGTGGAGCTGTGCCTGTAGTCCTTACTGGCCTGGAACTGACGTCAACTAAGACAGGTTTGGGTTTTAGGCTTTTCTCCTGCTCTACCCTCCAGAATGCAGGGTTCACATGTGTGCAGTACTTCCTGTGGGCTCACTCTGTGTATCCTGAAGATGCAAAACAATAAAAGTTTGAGATTCACTGGTAGTGCACATCTGTACTGTCAGCATCTGGAAGGCGGGGCCAAGGAGATTACAAGTCTGAAGTAGACCAACATAGGGGGCTGGGCGCCACCCTGACCTATAAAACATTCTCGAAAACAAAACAAAATTAAAAACATATAACCTAAACTATATAGCAAGATCCTTTCTCAAAACCAAATGATAAAAGAATCCAGCCCTTGAGAGGCTGAGGGGGGAGGAGCATAGTGAGTTTGAAACTGCCCTGGACAACACAGTGAGAAGATGGAAGAAGTGAGTCTGGCATGTTGTCTAACCTCCACACGGGTGCTGTGGCTCTGGTGGTGATGTGCCACGACAATCCTGGTGCCTTAGAGGCTCAGGTAGAATTGCCTGGGCAAGATAGTGAGAGCAAGTCTCAAGGACAGAAGTGGGGACGGAGGAAAAAGAGGAAACCCAAAGGTCAGGGATTCGCTCAAAGACACATGCAGTTGCCAAGGGTGGACTCTGAACCTGGCTCTTTTGACTTGTTGGTCCCACTACACCTCAGCCAGCTCCAGTTATCTCTTTATTATCAGCCCAAGCTGGATTTCTTGCTTTGCATTTTGCATTCTGCCCTCTGTCCCATCAGCCTCATTCACCACGTGGCTGTGACTGATTGTCTTCCAGAGAGAAGTGGAGATTCTGATGTTCCTCAGTGCCATCGTGATGATGAAGAACCGTAGATCCAGTAAGCCGACCTGCTTTGCACTGCTGGGGGTTAGGACTCTGGCCCTGCAGAAGCTCCCTTCTAGTGGTAGAGGAGAGGAGCCTTATTTAATGAACTAGTTCCACATTTCCTGCCTGGGGCTAGTTTGACCGTGGACTTCTGTGTCCTCTCACCCCATTCCCACTTGTAAGTGCCCCAGGAGGAGGGACAAAGAGTGGGAGCCCTGCGCCCAGCCTGACTCTGGTCTCTCTGTCCCAGTCACCGTGGAGCAGCATGTAGGTAACATCTTCATGTTTAGTAAAGTGGCCAACGCGATCCTTTTCTTCCGCCTGGATATTCGAATGGGTCTACTGTACCTCACACTCTGCATAGGTGAGAAACTGCATTTATTATGTTAAGGTTCTATAATTAATAATTTGGAATAGTAAAGATCTTTGATAAAGGCTTGATTTTTGAGAACCAGGTTCCAATCTTTATCTTACACCTAATGAATTATATTTGTAGCTTTTAATTATATGTATGCGGTAAGTATTTACTTGGACAGTACTTTAAGAAGAATATATGCTGGTGATCTCTGTAGACATGTGTATTCTTTGGTGTCTGACATACTAAGTGGGTTTACAAATCTGTAAGAGACCCCATATGTTATCTCTGACATGCATGTTAACTCTGTGCTCAGTGTTCCTGATGACCTGCAAGCCCCCCCTGTACATGGGTCCTGAGTACATCAAGTACTTCAGCGATAAAACCATTGACGTGAGTATCCTGCTTCTGTCGCTTTGGCTTCTGCTGTGTGGGTTGTGCTCGCTGTTCATAAAGATGTTGCTTGAGGACAGCAGTGAGTACCTGGGCTTGGTGGTGCAAGTCTGATACGCTGGTAGCCGAGAGGCTGGGGCAGAGCTGCCGCAGGAACTGTTTCCTGCTTGTTTGTTTCCTCATTTTTGTTTTTGTTTTTTTTTTAATATTTATTTATTTATTATGTATACAATATTCTGTCTGCATGTATGTCTGCAGGCCAGAAGAGGGCACTAGACCTCATTACAGATGGTTGTGAGCCACCATGTGGTTGCCGAGAATTGAACTCAAGACCTTTGGAAGAGCAGGCAATGCTCTTAACCATTGAGCCATCTCTCCAGCCCCCTCGTTTTTGTTTTTTAGACAAGATTTCTCTATATAGCGTTGCCTGTCCTGGAACTCCCTCCATAGAGCAGACTGGCCTCGAATGAAGAGATCCGCCTTGTTCTGCCTCCCAGATGCTGGGGTTAAAGGTGTATGCCCCTCCCCATCCAGTGGATGGCTACAGTTTCAGGCCAGTGCAGGCTTCTAGTGAGTGCCAGGGCAGCCCCAGCTACATAGTAAGAGTCTGTCTCAAAGGAAAGGCTGGTAGGCAGGTGAGTTGGCTCATCAGGTGAAAGTGTTTGCCACATA